AAGATGAAGTCTAGCAACTCAAAATATAATTTTACTAAAAACCAAATACAGTGGGACGTTTCTTATTGCGAAAAATTTGTCAACCGAAGCGCGGTTTCTCATAGGAATGCATTGAAAACCAATTAATCTGGAGGTCAGAAAAAAGTCAGAATGAGCTGGCATGGAAACCAACCCACAATGTAGAACACATAATAAAAGACATGCAAATGACGAAGCTCAGCTGCCTACCTTTCCACAGCTTGAGAAATGCACCAAAAAGTCACAAAACAACTACAAACAATTTCCAGAATAGCACCAAAACTCAATGCAAAAGCCGCTCCAACACCTCCACACTCGACAAGGCGAGGCTCCAGCATGCAGGCGGCAGTGCTATAAACCTCCCAAGTGCAATGCATCCTGGGGAAACTTGCTTTGTATTGCGAAAAAAATTTGTGAACTGAGGCATTATTTTCAATGGATTTTCATTTGTAAACTGAAAATTATGTTAACCGAGTCGTTTGTAAACCGAGGTCCCACTGTACATTTATTGATCTTAAATTGAAGCAGGAATAGCCTGATCGAAATATTCATGTTAAAAATACAGCAGAAAAGATTTTTAATAGACAAGTGAAACAAGTTAGAGATTGTGTCGCCCTAGGCTAAAATGGGCCTTACAGTTCATTGGTTGGAATGTAGTTTTCAGTTTGTGTTACAACATTTTTTGCTATTCTGTGTCTGTGAAGGTTAAGATGAAACTGTTACTAATCATCTGAAAATTGAAAAAGATTGAAGAAGACTGATTTATTAAAATCCTATCAAGTAGCAATGGATATCTTTAATTTTTACTGACCTTGTTCAAACAGGGTTTTAATATATTTGTCTTTCCATACGGAGAACTTTCTCTGATTTATTATTATCTTCCTTCCACATACATATTTAATTTTACACCACAATATGTCCACTTATCTAAGAACAAACACACTACAATGATTTAATCAAACATTCATTATATGACACATTTAATATTTTCTTTACATTAATATGTATTTATAATGAACTACTGAACCTCATAAATATCAGCTTTTTGATGCAGAAAAAAAACCCACACATTTATTTTAGCTTTACATCATTGTCAACACCCTACAACAAAGAGGCAGCATTATTCACAAAGTGAGAATTAACTGATGTCTCAATAACTTTTCTCTTCTGGAATTTCTGCTGGAAACTTTACAATGATATAACGATTCTTTTGGGGTTATAAGTGAGAAACATCTAGTAATTCAAAGAGAATTAATGTAAATTTTAAATATAATTCCAAAATACCCAGCGTAGTCAGCTGTTCTTCTAGTTTGGGTATTTTGAACTTGAAATTGTTATACATATTGAATTCCTGACAACCCACACTTTCGTGAATAACACTGTAAGTCACTTTTTTTTCTGATAGGTTGTGAACACAGATTGTGTAAACTTATTTTGTTTTGCACGAATATTGAACAAGAATATACATGTATTTGCAGTGGCTTGATAATTTAATATTGGCCTAATTTTACATTATCAGTTTTTTTTGTTTTTTTTACTAAACTGAAGGTGAATTCAAAATGAATTTCAAATTTAAGCTCAAAATAACTGAAATAGAAAAATGATTAGTCATCTATGCTTTTCGATTGGCTACTCTGGTCATTCCAGACCCCTAGTGCACTTTAGCCTGCCAAACTGCTTTATGTGTGAAGTGTGTCTTTTTTTTATTTTACCAAATGTGCAGATTTCAATAGAAATTAGCACTTTTATAAATTAACCTTGTTACATGACCTCTGACCGTCAATCAGACAACTAGTCTTGCTATTTCCTTGAGCTGCATTGGGAAGTCTCTCATTGGACAGTCACAAAACATCTGGGCTGGGTTAAAAGGGGAGGGATTGCAGCAGTTACTAGCTGTTTTTATATGTACTCCAATAAACAAATGTATAATTAAATGCATGCATGTTTTCATTGGGGATATACCTACTAAACAGTGATTTTAACTTGTTTGTATTTTGCTATTTCTATTGAAATCTGCATTTTTTTTGTGAAAAGAGAGGTCATACTCTTCACACATAAATCACTTTAGCAAGCTAATGTGGTACAGGTGTCTGGAGTTAAAGTCTCTTTTTTTCAATTCAGAAAGAGAAATCTCATTAACACTCAGCTTGAACAAATATCAAGATACAGTAACTGTAATTTAGCTAAAAATTATGACTAGAGATGAGCGAACCCGAACTGTAAAGTTCGGGTTCGTACCGAACATTACGATTTTTGGACCCCAAACTTACCCGGGCATTTCAGTGACAGTTCGGGTTCGAGTTTGGTGTTCGGCGATTTAATGGCGCGTTTTGAAAAGCTGCAGGGCAGCCAATCAACAAGTGTTTGACTCATGTGCCCTTAGAAGCCATCACAGCCATGCCTACTAATAGCATGGCTGTGATTGGCCAGTGCAGCATGTGACCCAGCCTCTATATAAGCTGGAGTCACATGAGCTCTTATTAGTGTAGGGAGAGGATGCTGCAGCTGTGAGGGACAGATTAGGAAAGAATTCTGGTGTTGAATCAGCAAACTACAGCGATTATTTTTGTGGGTGCTATACTACATTTTTGTACCCTGCCCTGAGCCCAGTGCCACAGAGAAATAAGCAATCAGTCTGTCTGTTAGGTGGGCACTTGCAACTGCATGTGTGCCAGGCACATTACTTTAATCCTGTTCTGGTAGTTCAGTGGGCAACATCTAGGCATTTTAAAATACTGCTGTGACATTGCAGTTTGACAAATTCAAATTTGTGGCGTGCACTTCATATCGGAGAGTCAAATAGAACCGTCAAATACTGTGGTTACATCGCAGTTTTAAAACTTCAAATCTTTTGGTGGTAAATAATAAATAATAAATAGTAAATTTGCTGCCTGCGGTGCACTTCATATCAGAGAGTCAAATAGAACCGTCAAATACTGTGGTTACATAGCAGTTTGAAAAATTCATATTTTTTGGTGCTAAATAGTACATTTGCTGCCTGTGGTGAACTTCATATCTGAGAGTCAAATAGAACCGTCAAATACTGCTGTAACATTGCAGTTTGAAAAATTCATATTTTTTGGTGCTAAATAGTACATTTGCTGCCTGTGGTGAACTTCATATCTGAGAGTCAAATAGAACCGTCAAATACTGCTGTAACATCGCAGTTTTAAAAATTCAAATTTTTTGGGTGGTAAATAGTACATTTGCTGCCTGCGATGCACTTCATATCGGAGAGTCAAATAGAACTGTCAAATACTGTGGGTATATCGCACTTTGAAAAATTCACATTTTTTTGGTGCTAAAAAGTAAATTTGTGGCGTGCACTTCATATCTGAGAGTCAAATAGAACCGTCAAATACTGTGGTTACATCGCAGTTTGAAAAATTCAAATTTGTTTGGTGCTAAAAAGTACATTTGTGGCGTGCACTTCATATATGAGAGTCAAATAGAACCGTCAAATACTGTGGTTACATCGCAGTTTTAAAAATTCTAATTTTTTTTGTGGTAAATAGTACATTTGCTGCCTGCGGTGGACTTCATATCTGGGAGTCAAATAGAACCGTCAAATACTGTGGTTATATCGCACTTTGAAAAATTCACATTTCTTTGGTGCTAAAAATTTAATTTGGGGCATGCACTTCATATCTGAGAGTCAAATAGAACCGTGAAATACTGCTGTGACATTGCAGTTTGACAAATTCAATTTTTTTTTGTGCTAACAAGTAAATTTGTGGCGTGCACTTCATATATGAGAGTCAAATAGAACCATCAAATACTGCTGTGACATTGCAGTTTGACTAATTCACATTTTTTGGTGCTAAAAAGTACATTTGTGGTGTGCACTTCATATCTGAAAGTCAAATAGAACTGTCCAATACTGTGGTTACATCGCACTTTGAAAAATTCTAAATTTTTTGGTGCTAAATAGTACATTTGCAGCCTGCAGTGCATTTCTTGCAGTCCAATAAAACCCTTGACTACTACTGTTACATTTTTGGTTAAAAAAAAAAAATATCACACTTTTTTGTGCTAAATTGAACAATTGCAGCCTGCGGTGCATTTCTTGCAGTCCAATAGAAATAAAAATAAAAATAATCACTGGAGAGAAAGAGGATGTACCCCCCCACCCACCCGCGATAACTGGCCCTAACTGCCAGCATTTCAAAATTCCTGGCCTTTGAAATGCTGTCATTCTATCTGGTGGAGGCGGACAGTTTTAAAAACCTGATGGCGGTGACTGTCAGTACGTGGTTCCCAGCCGCCACTACTTTTCCAGGCGATCCATCTCTTCCCTGAACAACCAATTGGCGGACAAAATCAGGTGTGCACGGTGTAATGCCATCTGTGGCAAGGTCCACATAACCACTGATACGTGGACCAGTAAGCACGGTCAGGGACGCTATATCTCCCTAACTGCACACTGGGCAAATGTAGTGGCGCCTGGGCCTGAGGCAGATAGCAGTTTGGCTCATGTCCTTCCGCCACTGAGGATTGCAGGGCTTTTCTATTTGCCTCCTGTTGCCTCCTCCTCCTACTTCGCTTCCTCCTCCTCTACCACCTCCTTATCTGGTCAGCGTAACACCTTCACCACCAACTTCAGCACAGCCAGGGGGAAACGACAGCAGGCTGTTTTAAAACTCATATGTTTGGGGGAAAACCCCACACTGCGCAGGAGCTGTGGACGGGCATGGAACAACAGACAGATGAGTGGTTGTTGCCACTGAGCCTCAAGCCCGGCCTGGTGGTGTGCGATAATGGGCGAAATTTCGTAGCAGCTCTGGGCCTAGCCGGTTTGACGCACATCCCTTGCCTGGCGCATGTGCTGAATTTGGTGGTGCGGAAATACCTGCAAAACTACCCAGATATATCAGAGCTGCTGCAGAAAGTGTGGGCCGTCGGAGCGCGTTTTCGGTGTTCTCACCCTGCTGCTGCTCATTCCAACTACAGGGTCTCGAAAGAGTCCTATATTGTTATTTATCGTCACTATCTCCCAGTGTCGGGAGTGGGTAATTTGCGCGCCTGCTGCCTTCCTTGGATGTGGTAGCCGTTTCTCAGGCTCCCCCTCCGGAATCAAACCCTGATTCCCCGTTACCCATGCGATTGGCCCAAGGTTATCTAGAGTCACCAAAGTGCCTGCGCAATGACTGCAGAGTTGCCCATTTTTTAACTTGTGCTGATAACTGGGTGGCCAACCTGCTGGATCCCCATCACAAGGACAACGTGCCGTCCTTAATTCACTCACCGGAGCGTGATCGGAAGATGCGTAACTACAAGCGCACGCTGGTAGATGTGCTGCTGAGGGCATTCCAAACTGACACTGGGGGCTCAGTGGAAGCACAAGGCGAAGGCAGAGGAGGAGGAAGAAATCATCAACGCAGCTGGGGCACCGCCAGCACCTCAGAAGGCAGGGTTTGCATGGCCAAAATGTGGAAAAGCTTTGTCAGCATGCCACAACAACCAGCACTACCAGCTGATATGGAACGTCTTAGCAGGAGGCAGCATTTCAGCAACATGGTGGAACAGTACGTGTGCACACGCCTACAGGTATTGACTGGAGTTGAGCGAACCTGAACTGAAAAGTTTGGGTTCGTACCGAACATTACAATTTTTGGACCCCGGACCCGAACACCGACATATCACTGTATGTTCGGGTTGGAGTTCTGCGATTTAATGACGCGTTTTGAAAGGCTGCAGGTCAGCGAATGAACAAGCGTTTGACTCAGGTGCCCTTAGAAGCCATCACAGCCATGCCTACTAATGGCTACTAATGCCTACTAATAATACCTATTGCCCCCCCCGAGTGGGGGCCCTAAATACAAATAAGGAGGGGGGACCTATTGTCCCCCCCCAGCCCTCACCTCTGAGCGGGGTCACACTTGTCACAGCACTCTGATTGGTTGGCTTGATATCCACCAATCAGAGTGCTCTGTGTCATTTTACACAGCATGGGAAAATTCCAAAGGACTTTCCCACGCTGTGTAAAATGACACAGAGCACTCTGATTGGTGGATTTCATGCCAACCAATCAGAGTGCTGTGACAGGTAAATGTAGAGACTTACCTGTCAGTATCTTAATTTACCTGCCAGAGCACTGTGATTGGATGGCTTAAACCCTGCAGAGCTCAGTCTGCTCTGAGCCATCCATGGGTGAAGGATTTTTTTAAATTTTTTTTTTTTAGGTAAAGTGCATCGGTTATTCAGGATTTTTATTTGGCCTTTTTTGGGGCTGAAAAAATAAGATTTTAGAAGAAAGAAGACATCAAATGGTAAGTCTATTTTTTTTTACAGGTATTTAGACAAGGGTCTACCCTCATTATTTTTAGGATGAGGGGGGTAGGTAGGGGTAATTTTTTTGGGGGGAGGGGGGTGACTAGGGGTTTGGTGACCCCTAGTCACTTGGGGGAGGATTTTTATTTATGGCCTCCACCCACCGCTCAGGGGTGGGGGCGGGGGGAGGACATTAGGACCCCCCTTATTGTTATTTAGGGCCCCCACCTGCCACGCAGGGGTGGGGGCCGGGTGGGAGGACATTAGGTCCCCCCCTTTTGTTATTTACGGTCCCAACCCACCGCACAGGGGTGGGGGCCGGGTGGGGTTACATTAGGTCCTCCCCCAATTTTTATTTATGGCCCCCACCCACCGCTCAGGGGTGGGGTTCGGGGGGAGGACATTAGGTCCCCCCGAATTTTTATTTATGGCCCCCACCCACCGCTCAGGGGTGGGGGCTGGGGGGGAGGACAGTAGGTCCCCCCTCCACATTCTTATTTAGGGCCCCCACCCGTCGCACAGGGGTTGGGGTAATAGTTTTGTTTTGTTTTTTACAGTGAGCAGCCACTGACTGCTCACTGTTTACTAGACATCCCCCTACTCGCGGTATAGCAAGTAGGGGCTGGATTTACTAATACTAAGTCATCTTTACTTAGTATTAGTAAATGTGGCTGAAAGACCAATTTAGGCGACCAATTTAGGTCTTTCAGCCTTTTGGTAGATAGCCCAATAATACCGTGTGAATTAGGGAGTTATCTGCTAAGCGGCTGCTTATTTTATGTTATTTTTAAGTGATTTCCCTATCCACATTTGTTTGCAGGGCACTTGTCCTACTCTTACCCCCATTTTACTTCCTTTTGCAGCCCTCTAGCCCTTTTCAGGAGTTTTTTAGAGCCATTTTTGTGGCCAAGTTTGGGTCCCCATTAACTTTAATGGGGTTCGGGGTCAAGTTCAGGGTCAAGTTCGAGCCTGAAACCGGACTTTTTTTCAAAGTTCGGCCGAACCCACCGGACCCGAACATCCAGGTGCCAGCTCAACTCTAGTACTGACTGATGGGTCTACCCCATTCAACTTCTGGGTCTCCAAATTGGGCACATGGCCTGAGCTTGCCCTTTATGCCTTGGAGGTGCTGGCCTGCCCTGCAGCCAGTGTTTTGTCTGAACGTGTGTTTAGCACAGCAGGGGGCGTTATCACAGACAAGCACAGCTGCCTGTCCACAGCCAACGTGGACAAGCTCACGTTTATTAAAATGAACCAGGCAATCATCCCACCAGACTTGTCTGTACCTTGTGCAGAATAGACATTTATACCAGCCTCACCCAGCCATTGTTATACTCAAGTGCACTTGTTCTTTGTTTTCTTTTTTTATATGTCCCAAAATTTTGGGGGCTACCCCAATTGTTTGCAGGGCACTTGTCCTACTCTTACACCCATTTTACTTCCTTTTGCAGCCCAATAGCCCTTTCAAGGACATTTTTAGAGCCATTTTAGTGCCCAAAAGTTCGGGTACCCATTGACTTCAATGGGTTTCGGGGTTGGGGTCAGGTTCAGGTCAAGTTCGAGTCCGAACTCGAACTTTTTGCCGAAGTTCGGCCGAACCCGGTGAACCCGAACATCCAGGTGTCCGCTCATTTCTAATCATGACAAATACATAATTTTTTCAAAAAGGGACCAACAGAAATCTTAAAAAATAAACACTTTCAGTTTGAAAAGTGAATATTAATTTTTGTACGGTGAAAACTTAGAATATTAAAAACTACAATAAAAACATAAAATGTGATCATCTATTGAAATTTTCATTGTCTAGTGAGACATAGTGTTTTCTTCTCTTAAAAAACAAAATACAGTAACATGTTTTCTACCTCTCTAATTATTGTTATTCTTTCCTTTCTGACACCATAATATGCACTGCGTCATGCTGATTACATATTTTATTAAGCAGATCTCAAAATGTGAAGAAATAATGGCTTGCTAAATATAGCCTTCTTTGAGAATTTGTCTTATAACTCCTTCATTTCTTTGTTTAGGATAATTACTGCAAAGAAGTCAGAGTTTCATAAATGAATGTTATTTTTTCATATAGTTATAAACCTAAAATAAAAGGCATTGTAGAATATTTCAAGTTGTCACTTAAAAAGTGTTCAGTTTCTAAATCACCGCACATTGTTCGTGTGATTCTTGTGTTTATGCATTATACTCTATTACCCCTTGTTACCTATATTTTACTTAAGTATCCAATTGATTAATTCTATTTGTGAAATTGTACTTATTATTTAAATTTAATTCTATGTAGACTTACTCATGCGCCCACATCTTAAGTTTTGCAACTCATATATATAACAGAAGCTCTACTGAAAACATATGCATATCGCTTCTGTACCCACACTGCACAAAATGCGCATTCGTTTCCTAAAACTCACACGCATAGCACCAGGTACTTTTTTTAGCCAACGCTTTTAAAATATTAAATAACAATATATATTACAAGTGCAAGACTTATGAGTATCTTAACCCTCACAGTATGCAGTACGATAGAAAAGTTAAAACAGCAGTATATAAAAGATAAAAACAGAGAGAGCAACAAATAGTACAGATGGCAAAAGTCCTTGGTAAATGTGAATAATGGGGTGTAAGCACACTCACATGTAATGGAGCCACAAAATATAAGCTCACTGACTGCGTAGCTGTGCCTTTCCAGGTAGCACCCCACCTGTCTTCTATCTGGAGATGTGTTCCTCACAGAAAACACAGTAATATCACAACAGGGCCGTACGTCTGACAAAGTATTATCTCTAATATGGATATAATAAAAAATGAACGCTTACCTTATTCAGAGCCTATAGGCCCTTGGCTCTAAGATTATGCACCTAATGCCAATTTGTGGGATGACACACATATTTAAGTCCAACTATTATTATCTAGTGATCATGTGACCATGATAGGCAGATCAGGCTTCTGAAGGAAGTTCCCAGCTGCCCCATTTTGATAATAGGATCTTGTTGGACATATAATGTCAGATAATAGAGGAACTAAAATAAATACCCAAGTCTCACTATTGTACTGTAGTGATCATGTGACCATAGATCTACCAATGGCAAATCTCTTTAACCTTCACACACATTGCAACCCTTACACACCCACACCCACACCTATATTATACTGTCCCTATCATCTACTACAGCTCCTATCCTGGCACACCCCAGGTAAGTTGTCAACTGTTCTTAAATGGTTTGACTACTTACTCTGGGAGGGAGCCACAGCACACCTGGCACAATAACCACTACAGAGAGCTGTAGTGGCTATTGTGCCTGGATTGTTTCTTTTAAAAAAAAATCTACCATTGCCCCTATCAAGATTAGGTTCTAGACACCAGAGCAGGAAGTTAGATATGTTTTCAGTACTATTGCTCTGTAAGTACTATTGCTCTGTAAGTACTATTGCTCTGTTCATATAAGTTTATATAATAAAGTATTGCATTTATTATATTTTGTCCTCTTTATTACAGGCCTAATCACTCATCGGTTTCGACACACTACTGTCGACATAATACTCACTCACATGTATTAATATTCTTTAGGCTTATATACCATACAGAATCCAACACACTGACTCACCAAACACCAGCTTTAGAGCTCACAATATTTAATCGTTTTTTTGTTTTTAAAACACCTGACTTAGACAACAATGTAGATTTAGTTAGAGTATATGATCACACATTGCATAAGCCTGCAACAAAACCATATAGGAGATATACATAAAACAAATAGAGGCCGTCCGCACATTGAGAGGACTATGTGACTAGTTTAAGAGCAAGGTTATAACTATGGGCTCACACATAAAGCAGTGTGTTGCAGTGGATGTGATCTATTTGGATGTTGCTAAGGCATTTTAAATGATTCTTTACTATAGTTTACTCTACAAATTAAAGGC